CACACACACTGATCCTCTAATCGGCCGCACCCAGCCAACACCTGTCTGGTGGGCTGGATGATTCCCGACAGCCTTGCACCCTTTCATTAGCTGAATAATAGACAGTATGAGTTGGTTTGAGTTGGTTAAAGTTGCAGACCAACGCTTCGATGTAGATTCAGGTGAAGGTGGAACTCAAATTAAGAGATTAAAGTTGACTCTATAAACTACTTGTATTTTAAAACTATTTATCAGCCTTTATGAAGTTGGTGAGATATATTCTTCTTTCTCATTGTCAGTGCTATTTACCGGAAATGAATTCTGCCACATGTTGAGGTTACTAAAATTAAGCCCTCTAATCCACTAAAAATAAGATAATTAAACTTCCCATTGTAATGAAAGACGTTTGTAAAATGATTTTTTTTCTACAACGGCTGCGTAATGGACCTGCCGCGACGCGAACCGCTCGCGCAGCCAACTACGTAGAATTAGACTGCTTCGACATAACGCTCTACGTCTAACACGAAAAGATAGATTGTCGCAGTCTTACGACTGGCCCCTAAAGTGAAAAGCATTAGCGTTTTCTTCGGGGACTGTAATAGCATAGCCTTAGGTACTTCTCTAAGTGGCCTAGATCTCTACTAGCTTGAACTCCAGATCCTTGAGAAACGGCGCGTACTGCACCAATGATAATCGCGCGGCCGGTGCGGCCGCGCTGCGGCAATTTTTTGTTGACAGTCACAAGTAATGGCATGCGCTCATGCACAGCCATCCTGTTTTGTGTGCATTTCTTGGCCACTGTTCAGCTCACATAGGAACAAAAAGGGTCGTTTTCTAGATTCAAAACCACATTTGTGTACAAAGCCGCCCGATTCGCTTGATATCTTGGTCCAAACTTGTTTTCTACGTAATTGATGAGCCGTCTCATTCAATTATTGCATTACAGATATTTTATTGCAAGTGTAGTTGTCATGGATCCCGAAGCTTCGTTTTCTGATGAAACGCTCTCAGCATCGGTTTCAATGCGCCGTCGCTCTCACTCGTTTTCTGACGATTACTCGGTTCAGCGCACAAACGACGATGCAACACAGTGCAAATTTGCTGCCGTTCAGGTGTAGTCAGTTTTTTAGTTTTGTTTAAGAGCACTTTTGTACTATATAAGTACGAAATATATGTACAGCAGATTTTTAATCCAAGATTATGTTTTAGTTATGGGAATTCAGAATCATGTGTAGGTGTCCCATTCGAATTTTTCTCGAAACTTAATTTCCGTCTTATCAGGTTCGCAGTCAGAAAACTGGGATAATTTCGAACCTGTTAAAGTAATGTTTGGTCATTTTTGTTTAATCCTCATGATTTATTGCTCTCATTTGTCTTGGTTTCTTCTACTGCGAGAAATTAACCATTATTCATTCTCTTCTTGTGAACCTTTTAAAACCTTAAAGGCCTACGTTATAGAAGTACGCTTCTTAAGAATTCATGCAGTTAATTATACTTTATAGTTGTACATTTTTCTCCATTGTATTATTATCAAACGATATCTTTAGCTCGGTTACTGGAAAGATGATTTCCTACCCCGATTTGCATTCTGTAGTGGTGCGGATCAAAACTCTCGTCGCGATCCAGAAATCTCGATTGGATATTGGGCTCGAGTTTCCGCGGTCAATCTACTTGTTGAGCGATTCATAGATAAGACACAGGGGCAATGCCAAATCATCAGTGTTGGTGAGATGCCACTTTTGGCTTTGAAGCAGTGTTCAGTGTCCCGTGTAATTTGATGCATTGCTGGTCGAGTTTATGAATCTTACGATATACACCTATTGGGTAATGTTTATGAATCCTAGTAATGAAGAAATGGATTTTCATTTGCATCAAATAATAACTGCTGAAAGTGTTGAGACAAAATGAAGACATGATTGAGATCTTAAGTTCTTTTCCCATTGACGTTGGATATAGAATTATTTCATTCTGAGATGCTTAGGTAGGAATAGAAGTTCTTCAATTTTGTAAGCTCATCTGAACGATTTATACGAAATTGCTGAGCGCATTTTTATATGCACTGCTTTACTGTGTTTAATGGAACTGAAGACGTTTGAAAGAAATACAAATAAAAAGAAATTTCAACTTCAAGCGGCAATTCAGACACAGACAACGTTCGCGGGGTATCTTTATAGCTTTTTTTGCTTTTTGGTCAGACATCTGCTCAGATACTAGGTCTAAGTGCAAACACCAAAGACCTTACAACTAAGCAAATACATAATTAATTGACGGAAAGGTACCTTTGAGAAGTTAATTCGCGAAATGTAGGATTAGATAAACATCTCATTTTAGGATGTGGTTTCGATACCTTGTATTGGCGATTGAAGTCGGGCGGCAAGTCAGTGAAAAAGTTTGTGGATGTTGATTTCAGTTCTGTAACTGCAAAGAAGATTCGCCAAATTCGTAAGCCAGGCACTCCAGATTTGGTCAGCCTTTTTAGTGAACCCCGTAAGCAAAATTTTTATGTCTCAATGACAGTATCTCAATGTTGTAGAATTTTTTCTGTTTCATTTGTTTCATTTTTTTTCATGTTTTATCTATTTCATCAGTCTTGTGTATTCAATGCTTCACAATATTTTGGCATTTTTCTTATTTGAAGCGGTACAAATATCAACATCACTAGGAACTACGTTTATCGCTCACGCCGCTCATTATTCTATAGGTCCATTAATAGGCTTTCTGGTGCTATCACTGTGAGCCACCGCATTTTGCTAGGAGTCTTATATGCAGTAGCTCAACCAATTTGTTAAAGCCATTTACGTTGCCCTTATTTAGCTAAAGAAACTCAACACACTGATCTACATTGTGGTGACTATCATCTCGTTGGTGCGGACCTTCGTCAGTGGGCAGAATTCAAAGCAAAGTTGGAATCTGTAGGAATCAATACTAGTCTTCCAACACTCTTTTTAGCGGAGTAAGATTTGTTCTATTTCATATCTAGCCAAATCAATTTCTCATTCTTTAGATGTGTTCTTGTATACATGTCTGTTGATCAGAGTTCCGAACTTTTGAAGCACATAGCAGAATTCTTCGACACTGTCGCATTTATAAACTACGAGCAGGTGATTTGTGCTGCAAGTTTTCGCTTCATAGTATGGTATCCGAATATATGTTTAGGTACGCATAAAAGATGCATTTGGTAGTGTTATGGAGAAAAACTTGGAGCAAAGAGGAATCTATCTTCCTGGTTTGCCTGCTTGTAATGATATTGAAACTCAGAAAGCAAGGTAAATTTGGTTCAAATCAAAGCTGTTCAAGCAGACTTTCACTTGATGATAAATGTTGTAAATGTTGTTCTGTCATTCTGTAGCACTTTCAGATTCATTGATAATGGTTGGGAAAATGTTACTGTACTAGACATGAACAAAGTGTATAAGAAACTTTTGCCCCAAGACGAAGTGACAAGGTACATTTTTTCTTGAATTACAACTTGTGTTTCGCTATTGTTTTTCGTAGGATTGAGAAGATTGAGCATCTGGATGAAATGGAACTTTTACGACAACTTCTTGATCACTACTGCCTCGGATATGCTTTCAACGACAGGACTGAAAAATACACAAGTCGTTTAGTTTTCCCCGAGATGTAACGATCTGTTGATTGAAAGTTTTGAAAATTCTTACCTGCTAGTAGGATTCTCGGTTCCACTACCGCCTTACAGGTCCCTAAATCTGCACATTTCGGCCATTCGTTCTTATGCTAATTATAATCTCTTTGCTATAAATATCATTGATTTTGTAAATGCGTTTTATTGAGTGTCATATTTTTGGTTTTCTATAAGTTTAGATGAATTTTCATCCAGTAGTTTGTCATCTTTCTGCAGGTTTTAATCCATTACCTCAAAGTGAGGCTTTTTTCTAAATATGGGTTTTCCTGTCTTCTGTTGCCAGACCAAACCCGTTTTAGAATGTCTCTTGCTCAGTGGAAATTGGACTACAGCGGATATTCTCGTAATTGTAGAACAGCTGATAGCGCCTACAACCCGCCTGGTTTTCAGTCGGGTGCTACTTCTATTCAACATCATGTGACTTCTCATTGTTGGCAGAAGTCCATTTTCCATTCATTAACATTTTATTGAAGGTGGATAATGAACAAGCCTCAGAGCAGCAAGAACATCTTGCAAAAAAACGAGCTTGGGACGTTGCAATGGCTCCAGCCAAAAGTCTTCCGATGAACATGTTCATGATGTACATGGCAGGACGAAGTGTGAGCGCTATAATCGTTTATTTCCGTTTTGCGATGGTTTGTAAAGAGAAGTTTATTTGGTCTCGGATAAGGTGCTATGTTCAAAAAAA